GAAAGGGGGAAGCGGGCAGGCAGCTCTTGGAGAGTGCTTTTATGAGACTTTTCAGTATGTGTCCAATTGAAAAACTGACTATATGCAATGAGGAGACATCACCTTGCTGGTAGACGACGCCTAGGGAAGCACAGTCATGGGGTGGCTTCCCTCACTTCCGCGGTCCTGGAAGGGCCTGCCAGGCCTGCTGGGTAATGCGGGTGGGGAGCACATAACCCCGATGATGAGGGCATTAGTCTTAGACATGCCTTGAATATAGCAAGTGTTTCTGCATAGAAAACGTTTGATAGTGCTTGAGTGGTAATACACACACACACACACACACACACACACACACACACACACACATACACCCCTTCTTCAAGTGGTTTTGATAACCCATTTCACAGTGTGCAAATGACTCTTACACATGCAGTCACAGTGCATCCTCACACCAGCCCAAGAAAGAACAAGAACTTTACTATTCCTATGTTACAAGTGAAGGAATCCCAGGTCTCAGCAAGTTAAAGAATATATCTAAAGTGCTACAATTAGAAGTTAAAAAATGTGGCTCCAAATACGAAAATGTACTGCCTGTCTGTGTGTTGACACTTTTTGATTTTTCACTCTTGGTAGGTTTTTCTTGTTCTTCTCTTCCTCTTCTTTTTCCATGCATCTCCATTTCATTTTTCTTCTTCCCTCTCTATTTCCCTTCCCTTGCCCATTTCCTCTCCTTCCTACCCATGGTTCCACTCCACCGGACGCCTCAGAGAGTGCAGCTCGGTCAGCCAGGCACCATCAGAGCTGCAGAATCTGGTTCTGCCTTCCGTTTCCAAGGTCCTGCTCCTTCTGCAGCAAAACCATTGCCCTCAGAGCACTAGTGGAAAGCAGATGGAAGCCCCTGCACGGTACAGTTAAATTCTTTTCATGCTAGAAAACAAGACCCTCATGGTCCTTTGATTCATATGAAAGGTTTACTCTATGAAAAGATCCCAAAACTATGGTTTTTCACGAATACTTCTGCTGCTATTCGGAGCTCCAGGAAATAAACTTTTCTTTTTCCCATCATAGCAGACACTGAGGTTGTATCCACCTATAACACTTGGCTCAGTCTCGATTGTTGCCCTTGAGACTATGTAAATAATTATTGGTAAAGCCATAAATCAAATTCCCAAGTCTTTGTTCCTCTCTCAAGGATCAACTAGCTCATAAACAGGAGTTAAGACTATTTATAGTATTTTTCTCAGTGTGTACCCCTAACCAGAAAGGGCTAGCAGGAAATGAGTTTAAAGTCAGATAATATACAAGCATGTTTGGTTTACTGGTTCCCCAAGATATAATAAGATATGAGTATGAAGGTGAATTTCAGCTTTTAATACTCACCTGGACTAAGGCATGGCAGTTGGAACATTAGATTAACATTGAGTATTGAGAATTTGGAGTTCCAGGTGTCCACTTTGCATCTCTTTTTAGGCATTACAGTATGGGAGGGCTGTTAGCTGTCACCCTGAGCCAGGTGGTGGGTGACAGCTTGATTCCGGGCTGTGCTTGATTCTGTACTGCCAAGTGAGCAGAGATTGTGAGAAACGGGGTGCTATTTGTTACCCAGTGAAGAGTCCAAGGTGATTTTCACACACAAGCCACAAATACCATGGGACAGCTTGTTGAAATAAAGAGGAAGTGGCCAAGATTAGCAGTGGAATGATCTGGACTTTGGTCCTAGTTCTACCCCTACAACCAACATCAGATGGGCGTGAGCAATTCTTAGCCTCACTCATGGTGAGTTTTCTCAGTTGTACAATGGAGATGATGTTACTGACTTTGGAGAGTTGGGATCTTAAAATGAGAGAATGGATGCGAGATGATTTTAGAAACTGTTAAGTCACCACATGAAACTTAGTAGCTGATAATACTTTCATTCACTTATTAACAGGACTGTCTTCCTTATGTGGTGGTCAAAAGTCTCTGACCTTGATGGCTTTTTTACAATTTGTGTTTCTATTTACTTACAAATGTGTGCTTTCTCATTACATTTTTTGTATTTGCAACTTTGTTCTTTGGGGCAGTACCAGTTCAGGATATAACAATGGCTGCCCAATCTAAAAAGAAAAAAAAAATTTTTTTTTAGCAAATTGTAGAATAGAGTAGAAGTTTAGAGAGAACTCTGAAGGGGGAAAACAGGGATGGGAATTGATGTTCAAATCCCTGCTCCAGGAGTTGCTGTGTCATCATTTCATCCCCTATAAAATGGTAGGATAATCAAAATAACAATCTCATGGCGCTTTTGAGTGTTAAGTGAAATAGCACATGTGTAACATGATAAATATTTTCACTACTGTTACAATTAGAAACTCAAAGTTCTGCCCATAGCAAACCCCCACTGGTGAGGCCAAAGGCAGAGGTACATAACTCTCAGCAGTGCCCCAGTGTGCGCTCGAATTGGTGGCCTCCTGTACTATTCCTAGCACATGGCCACCCACTCTGTGGCTCAGTTCTTCGAAATTCAACTCTCTTTAGTCTCTCTTAGGCTCGGAAAATAACTCCATACAAGTTTGGTTTGATTTGATTTAGTCATCTTTTTCCTTGCATAAGACAACCAATTTTAAATTTCTTAAATTTAATTCCTTATCGGGGCTGGGGATTTAGCTCAGCGGCAAAGCGCCTGCCTGGCAAACGCAAGGTCGTGAGTTCGGTTCCCGGTACCGGAGAAAAACCAAAAAA